ATTTCCCCTGCCCTCCCATTGCACCTCACGCAGCAATGCCACATCGCCCCATCCTCCACCGCCGCAGTCGTTTAACTTCGGGGTACGGGGTGGAGGCACCTTGCCTTATTACTCGGCTACCGTACTCTACCCCTAGCCCCCCGCCCCTCCCCCCCCGCGCACTTGGAGCCCTTCTCGCCCCGCACTCAACGCTTCCCCCCCGTTGGTTAACTTCCCCATCCCTCCTGCTGCCGCGGTGCTCTCCCCCCTGAGGCTGAGACTGACGACGCCGTGATTGACCTCGCCGTTTTGCGCGACTACTGCGGCAAGTGCGTGACGTGGAGGCTCGGCTTCCCAGCTGGCATGACCAACGAGTTCGAGTCGTTGCTGAAGGAGCTCATCTGCTCGATCTGCCTGAACTTGACGAGCGACGCCTCCCCGCATTTGGTCGCCGCAGACAGGGTGAAGCAGGTTTCGAATTTGGCCCAGGAGGCGTCTTTGTCCTTCGCCCTGGACGCCAATGTCAACGCAGCGAGCTCGCACGTGGCCACGTTTTTGGACAACCTGGAGGCGGCGACCAGCCAGGAGAACTTGACGAACGCGTGTAAGGACCTGCTTCAGTCGGCCGACCTTGGTGCTGTTGTAAACGACCCGACGTTCAAGGACAACTCGTTGGAGAGTGTGCGGAAGCTGCTCAGGATCTGCCAGAACTACCAGTCGGGGAAGCTGAAGAAGACTGGTAACCCTGACTGGCCTTTCGTCGAGGCTGCCACGTTGGGTCTCGTGGTCGAGCTGGCCACGGATTCCGCGGGCGAGCACTCGCCCGAGTACTTGCTATGCCTGGAGAAGCTGCACGCTGCTCAGGGGAACAGTGACGCCGCCATCCAGACGTGCATCAACGCGATTAAAGCTGGCGTCGAGTTGGGCTCAGCGCTGGCCGCCGCCGAGACGTTCAGCAAGACGGAGGGCTTCGTCGCCGCGGCTGCCTGGGCAGAGCGCTCGCGCGTGTTGGAGCTGCGCGTGAAGCAGGCGAAGGTCTTGGTCACGAAAGGCGGGCCATACCCCGCGGGGCTGCCGATGGCGCACCTCGATAACATCGTCAAGCTGGTCGACACTGCGGACGCCTTGATCTCCAGCAGCGGTCCGGTTAACAGGGACATGTCGAAGGCGGCGCTCGTCCAGGTGTTCGCCGAGCTCCAACAGATCAGCGACGGCACCGCGAACGGCAAGCATTGGAGCGAAGGGCTGCCCAAGTGCGCTGACATGCAGAAAATCATTTCCCACGTGAAGGGTGTCGCCAAGGGCGTCAGCTTCGCTGCGATTAAGACCAAGGTCAACGGCGTGGAACGCTCCTTGGGCGCCTACAAGAAAGCGCGCGGCTTCATGTCGGAGCCCGCCGACGACGCCCTCATTCATGATATCCAGAAGGAGTGCTTCAAGGCCCGCACCACCGTCACGGATAACCTAGTCGCCATGCATTGTGACGTCAATGCCGACGATCATGATGCGATGCGGGTTGCAGTGGTCGGCGAGATGAAAGCGTTCAGGGCCTACCAGGGCGCTGCCAAGGATATGAACTTGACCTCGGCCCTTGCGCTGAAGAGCGTCATCGCCAACAGGTCATAGGTGATGCCGCGCGAACGTTGATGCCAGCTTTGGGTAGGGACCACCCACGGGGGAGAGGGGTGGAGGAAGGAGGTTTGGCGGGGGCGGTGGAGGGCCGATGCGGTCGGCGACGAGGGGGCGGGATGAGACAGGGCGGCCATGGCAAAGCAATCAGTGGGAGGACAGGGGGACAATGAGGATAGGCTGATGAGGCATCGCTCGTGCTGGCGGTTGCTCGCGTGCGAGGGCTGCGTGAAGCGTGCTGCGAATCCGATGCGCAGCGCGCGATATGTCCACATCGCGCTTTTTTTAATATATATATATATATATATATTATTAGCCAGGCGACTTGGCTCCGCGCTCTTGCGCCCCGTGCCCACGCCTCCCTCACCTCTCTGGCGGTGGCCGCAATCCTTCCGTTGCGCCACCTTGTGCCCCTTCGTTCTCCTCGGCATTGGGCGTATCTCCCGAGCGCTGGGCCAGGTCGCCGATTGATCGAACGCTCGGGTTTCGGTAAGCCCGCAACTGCTCGACCTGGGCCAAGGGCGCCAAGACTGGCCAGGCCGCACGGCGCGCCTGATCAGGGGCAGGAGCGTGGAGGAGGAGAGAGGGGAGGAGGAGGGGGAGGAGGAGGAGGAGGAGGAGGAGGGGGGGGAGGATAGGTGGAGGAGAGGACATTGGGATTGGACGGGGGGCTGGCCTCGTCCACACACCCCCCTCCCTCCCTCCCCCCTCCCTCCCTCCTCCCTTCCTCCCCCTCCTCCTCCTCCTCCTCCTCCTCCTCCTCCTCCTCTCTCCTCCTGCTCCTCCTCATCCTACTCCTCCTCCTCCTCCTCCTCCTCTCCTCCTCCTCCGCCTCCTCCTCCTCCTCTTCCTCCTCCCCCTCCTCCTGCTCCTGGTCCCGTGCGCCATTCTCTTCGCCATCGTTTCCCGCCGCTCTTTCTCCCGCCATTCCTGCCCGCTTCAATGCTGTCGCCATCCAGCCATTCTGTGTGCTTGTGCAGTGGTTAAGTGACATTACGGTGAGGTCCCCAGCTTATTGGAATTATGTTGCCGCGGTGTCGCATTTGCTATTCTTCTCGCGGCGAATCTCAGCACTCGGGCCAACGATGCACACCGAGCGTTATTTTGAAATCCCTGGGGCGCAGCCTGTTATTTTTATCGCCACGTCTGTCATATTTGTCGTCTTTGTACTAAAGATATTTTGTCTTCAGTTAAACGCTATTGTATTTGTTTTTATATGTCGTCTCCTGTAGGAGATGTCCAAATCGTCAATGTGAGCAGGAAGTGATATTCTTCTTCGATCATTAATAGTCTTCAATCGCTAATAGGCTCCTCCCTGCTCGGCGCGCTACCTCCGCAGTGTTTTGGGCCACCGCCCCGCCCTGCACCAGGCTCTGTCTCCCCGCGGCGCCTGGCCATGGTGCTCCAGCGCGCCGTCGAATCTCGGCAATGGACCAGAAAGAGAGAGAGAGAGAGAGAGAGAGAGAGAGAGAGAGTGAGAGAGAGAGAGAGAGAGAGAGAGAGAGAGAGAGAGAGAAAGGAGAGAGAAGAAAGAGAGAGAGAGAAAGAGAGAGAGAGAGAGAGAGAGAAGAGAGAGAGAAGAGAGAGAGAGAGAGAGAGAAGAGAGAGAGAGAAAGAGAGAGAGAGAGAGAGAGAGAGAGAGAGAGAGAGAGAGAGAAAGAGAGAGAGAAAGAGAGAGAGAGAGAGAGAGAGAGAGAGAAAGAGAGAGAGAGAGAGAGAACAAAAAAAAAGAGAGGAAGGATGGGCCGTCAACAGCGGCGGATGCGCCCTGGATGCCTCCAGTGTCAGCGGCCGACCCCAGCTGCCGAAGGCGCGGGGCGGCGCGGGCCGTGGCTCAGTGGGGGGCGGCGCGTGCGCCCCTTCATCTTGTGTTCAGCGGCGCGCGGGCCTCTTCGCGGCAAATGGGCGCGCGACCCGCGGGGGCGGTCCGGAGGGCGGCAGCGAACGCGAGGAGGAGGATTGCGCATCAAACTATGAAGATGAAGAGTAGTAATTTTAATGGTAATAAGAAATATATAAGAACATGAAAAATAATACTCATACTAGGAATAATAAGAAGACGATCGCCGATATTAGCAACAATAATAATTTGAATGATAAGATAATGAATGACGAGAAAACGACACACTAATACGACATAACGAAAATAGTAGTAGTAATAAAAAAAAATCACCCTTATATTTTGTGTATGACCGACATTATTATTAATAAATATAGTAACGGTACGAGTAGTAACAATAATAATCGCAATGCTGATATTGACAATCATAGTAGCAACACCGGTAATACTTATGCCAGTCATAAATTCAGAATGCTAATAGTAGTCGTACTACTACTAGTACTAATAATGATAATAATGATATTCACAATAATAGGGATCATAATAATACAACAACCAATGATAACAATGATAACATTGATAATGAGGGTACTAATAGTAATACGAATAATACCAAACACATTACGATTATTTATAATGATACTCGTATTAGTAATAATAATAGTAGTGATAGTAATAATAAGCGCAATAATGATAATAATACCATTCCTAACATAAATCATATTATTCATGTTACTGATAATAATAGTAATAATACTATTACTAACACTAATAATATTACCAATAATAATATTAGTAATATTAGTAACAATGTTAACCACAATAATACTAAGCATACTACGAATATCAGTATTGTTAATCATACTAACAATAATACTACTAATAATATTAAGAGTGCTGACAATACTACTAATCATAAGACTAATAACAATAAGACTAATAATAATAGTAATACTAATACTAACAATACTACTAATATTTTTAATATTAATACCATTAACAATACTAATAATAATATTAATAATAATACTCATAGTAATACGACTAATAGTCATACTAATAATAATACCAATAATACTAACAATGCCTGGCAGTAGCGGGGGCCAGCGCGCGCGGGGTTAGCCAAAACGCCATATTTTCCAGGATCATGCAACGCCAGGGTTGCGTTAAACAGGGCTAGCGCGCAGGACCCCCGCATACTTCTGCGTGAACAATCATAGTATAAACAAACGTATTAGTTTTCACAAATCCACAAAATCCACGCGGATTTCTGGTGCCGTCGCTGGGGCCCTCTCCCTGCCGCGCGGAGCCCGCCGGGGGCGGCGCCGGAGGTGCCGATCCAAAAAGTTACCGTGGACCTACGGAAGCGCAGGTTCGGAAGAGGCGGAGGATGACGTTGCAGTCGGAGGATGGCGCAGCATCGCCGATGCATGGGCGATGCGGCTGGACTTTGATCCCGGTTTTACCAATCCCACCGTCGCCGGTGCATCCGCGACGCGACGCGGTCCTCCGATCCCGTCTGCTCCAGTCGTGCTGGGGAGGCCCCCGCCAGGGCAGTTCAACTTGGTGTACATGCCGATGGACTTCAAGACGAACCAGGCTTTAGGCTACGCGTTTGTCAACGCGGTGATCAAGGGCAACATGAGGGGGGATAGATTCGTGTGGGGGGAAACGTCGACCTGGAGTCGGCAATACATCCGCGTTGCATCGACGATTGGCCCCCGATGGTGAATACATACGCTCCTCGGTGGTGTGGGCTTTCGGGCCTTTCATCGGCGATCAATGGTCGATTGGGGATCGGTGCGTCTCCCCTGAGCCCATCCCCCCCCGTACGTTGCCCCTCAGGCGAGCGCTGAGGTCGCTATCCGCCTCTTCGGCGTGTTCGACGGCTTTCAGGCGTGGCCCAAGAAGAGTTCGAAAGTGTGCAACGTGTGCTGGGGCAGCCGGCAGGGCCTCGAGAGCAACCTCGATGCTTACCGCAAACTCACGGTCATGCGGACGAAGTTCCCCGATGCTTGGAAACCCGCCTTCTTCTCGCAGGTCGACGAGCAAACAAAGGCATAAACACAATTCGTTGGAGCTCCGCGCTGACTTCTTGGATCGGCGCTTGGCGCGCGAAACGCGCCACGGAGGAAACTCCAGCGCGGATCCAAGAATTCTGCGCGGACTTCCGAACGTTTATGTTCATGCAGCTTGCTCATTGTCTCTTGCAGGGTATCCAGGTGCCCTTCCCCAAGCGCACGAGGGAGATCACGCGCAACCTGAATAATCTCCGCGGCGGTGGCGACCCGCCGCGGCTTTGAAACGTGCGTGGCAAGGGTGGGCTTCCAACAGTTACCAGCCTGGAACATATGCCTATCCCTATGCTTGGCACCTCCTCACCACGATGCCAATCTTAGGGGTTCCCTTATTTTTGAGGGCGAACCCCTAAGATTGTCATCGCCTTTTGGCGTGTCACTCTTAGGGATAGGGATACGTTCGAGGCTGGTAAAACAGCACGATGTGGGGCCCGGGTGGCGGAGGGTGAGGAGGTGGCCGTGGGGCTGGTATTCACGGGGATGGGTGAGCGGAGGGGAAGTAGCAGGTCACTCCGCCAGAGAGTGGCGCCGGCACGCCTGCCTCGGGTGAGCACGATCATGGCCCGCTGGCATCCCCAGTTATCAGGGGCAAACTTTTTAATGACAGCGTCCATGCCATTTCTCGCGTCTCAGTTACTGTCCTCTTGAATTCTCCCTTTGGGCCGCCGCGCGAATTCGCTACGCGCGAACCTGCTGCCGATCGAAGAACAACAACAGTAATGGCAAGAAGAAGCAGGAGAAGAGCAACAGATGCATTACATAGCCTTTCGCACGTCCGCGCGGATTTCGCGGATCGGCACTGAATCGTTTCCCTGCCGCGCGTAGGGCGCCAGGGGTTGCGCCATGTCACCAACGCCGATCAGAATAGTCTGCGCGGACTTCCGAAAGTTTGTGCTAACACCGTTGTTTGTTGTTTCTCGCGCCGCTGGTTTTTTTCGGTGGCAGGATGTGCCCATCACCACTACTATATGCTTTTAAGTTTGACCTCGATCTCCGCCTGGTCAAAGCGGTCGCCGCTGGCCGCGCAAACGCAGAGTCGTTGCGGCATGCGCATTCGGCGCGCCTCCATAGGTTGGGACGCGAAGCGTCGGCCTGCCAGCATGAGTGTGCCCTCTTCGTTTTTGGTAGAGTCCGTCGTGGCGGGGTATATCTTCCTTCCCAGCCACGTGTAATCTGCGCAGCCCTACAGGAACACCATAAATAATTGGAAAGGGAGAGAGCGAGGAGCAAGGGAGTGGAGGAAGGGCGGGAAAAGGGAAGGGGGCAAGAAGGAGGGAGGCAGGGAGAGGATGAATGACGAGATAAGTTAGCAAGAGGGATCACCACGAGAGGGTGGCAAAGAAATCTTAGGCGAGAGCGCGGCTCTTGAGTACACTATGAGGAAGTCCCGAGTCATAGCGCGGTTCCAGAGCGCAGAGAGCTGCACCCAGGACCCGTTTCCCTCAGGATCCGTTTCTTTCGTGCCAATGTGTTTTGTTGCCGATCTCGGGTGCGGCGAAAAGAGTTCATCAGGCAATGCAAATCACTCCCAAACGGAACCGTCCCACCTCTGCCAGAGCGACAACTCTTGGCAGTCAGGCGAAACATCCGTGCAGCCCATGCAGGATGCGCCCACCACGACTCATGACAATTTTTTCAAGCCTGGTCGTGACTTCTGAGTGATCTGGGGGAACAAAAAGGGCACCCCGGCGGCGCCTCCAGCGCCGCCTCTGGCGCGCTCCGCGCGCCAGGGAGGGAGGGTCCCGCGCCGATCCGAGAAATCCCCGCGGACCTCAGAGTTTTTATGTTTATGTCATTTTTTGTTCCCCTATGATCAGAGCCGTCGCCACTGGGCGTGTGCAGCGCAGAGCTGCCCAGGCAGACGCGCGAGACTGAGGCAGTCCGTGCAGTCCGTGCAGGATGCGCCTGGCCTTGACCTCTGAGTGATCAGGGCCGTCGCCACGGGGCGTTTGTGCAGCGCAGGAGCTGCCCGGG